TGGTTTAAACTTACACTCAAGATAAATCATTTAGTTGTAAAATTTCTTTGCTGAAAAAATATAAGGAAGATGTTCCTAAAGATGCCCTGGTGGCTCCAAGGAAGTGGTATTTGATATGGGTTAGAGTAGAAGATGTTCAGATCTCAAAGAAAATCTACTTGCTTTTGTCAAACCTTTGTGAAAAGATCTGGTTTGTAGATGCTAAGAAGAGAATTGGTAAGGGGTTTTCCTGGGTGCAAGGAAAGGAATCTTTGGAAAGAGCTTCCTGAATGCTTGCTGGCTGACCACATTAAATTCTTAATATACTTCAGTATTTTTCATGACCTGAATTAGGATATTAAGAAGAGGAAAATTGCAGAGATGTTGCTGAGGTAACCTGCTAGTAATGGAACAATTTTTTTCTCTCCTATTGACTCAAGTGGTGATGTTAATAACCTAGACAACAAGACAAAAAAGCAAACAAGCCTTCGCAGTGATATGTGTACTTATTGAATCAGGGAGGGTACATTGCCTTTGCTTCTAAAGCTGTAAGTTAAAAACAGCTTTGGTAAGTCACAGAAAATCCTAGCAAATTCCTAGAAGGGACAATTCCAAGGAACAACCCAGTTTTGCAAGGATATACTACAAAGAAGTGTTCACAGTGGTAGGAACACTCTGAAGTTTGATGTAGAATGCCACAAAAAAGCATCAGAGGGAAGCCCAAAACCAGCTGAAAAGTTCACAGGGAAAAAAAAAAAAAAAAAAAAAAAAGGAAGAGTTGAAAAAGTGAGTCTGAAAAAGTAGGTGAATGTAATTGTGGGGGAAAAAACCCAAACCCAAAACCAATGAACTACAGTGCTGCAGCAGTTAGGGAAGACTGAAACAGAAAAACTTGGTGCAGTCAGTAAGGTTAAAAAATATTCAGACAGAAAACATTATTACCTTGTGAAAGAAGTAGCTTCAAAAGAGTTAGTGGAAGTATTTCAGGCAAGGGTAGCAGACTGATGAACCTACATAGTGATAAATAAGATGTGGAAAAAAAAAAACCCCAAAATAGGAAGCACTATGGGAAAGGAAAGCACCGTATTATCTCTCACCTAAGGGGACTTAAAAAAAGGAAGTGGCATGATTAAGCAAAGTGAATGCTAGAGTGTTGATGAAGACATTCAGAGAGGATAAGAATTGGATAAAATCCACAAGCATTGGTTAAAAATCCTTATCAGTTGTATCTTAGCTCAAAACACATGTATAGGAAATACTGCAAAAGGCTGGAGGGATGAAGCAAGCTTATTAATAAAGGGAAAAAAAAAGGAAAGAAGTGGCATTGTCCTAAAAACCTGGCAGTGACTCACTGATGATCTGAGAGCTCCTCACTGAAACATCTGACAAACAGAATATTTTGATGATGGGGAGTAGCTGGCAGATAGAACAAAACAAGAGTCTAGATGTGGTTTTGATAGATAGTGCAAAAGCTTCTGAAAGCATGTCATCAAATGGGAATTCAGAAGCATCTGGGACTGGGGAATAAAGTGCATTAGCTACGACACAGTGGTAGAAGAGCACTGTGAAGGACATGGCAGGTGAGTTCTTGTCACCCTTCCTCTTTGTTGTAACTTTGCTTCCTTTATTTGCAAAGCTGAGATACACAAAGAAGTGTTATTTAGTGACACAAGAAGAAAGCGTATCTCATATGTACTTAACAAAGCAACTTGAAATTACATGGTCAGGAGGAGGTGAAAATTAATTTCCCAGTTAAAACCGCAAGGCTTTTTATAAGGCAATAAGAATTTTAGTTAGACAGAAGAACCTGTATATACTTCACACACACACAAATCCTGGTGAAAATATCACAGGAGATCAAAACAAGCACTGGGGTGAAAGAATACATAACAGCACTAAACATCGTAAACATTTGAAATTCCTCAAAAGATTCTGATAAAAAAATAAGGTGGCTTTAAAGAAAGAGTGCTTTCAGAGATGTGCACAATTCCTAAAGATATTTCAGTATGCAAAATACATTATCAACATATATGCCATCCACTGCAGTGAGAAACTGGACCTGAGAGAACTGTATGACAGGACAAAGCAGAAGTTAGGATTCAAAGAAGCAATAAACATGAACGCAGATGTGAGAAAACCTTTTTGTTGATCAGAGGATAAAACAGAAAAGGACTGAGAACAGCCATGGATAGGCCAAGTGCAAGATCCTGCACCTGGGTCGGGGCAATCCCAAGCACAAATACAGGCTGGGCAGAGAATGGATTGAGAACAGTGCAGAGAAGGACTTGGGGATGCTGGTTGGTTAGAAGCTCAACATGAGCCAGCAGTCCAGAAAGCCAACCATATGCTGGGCTGCATCAAAAGGAGTGTGACCAGTAGGACAAGGGAGGTGATTCTCCCTATCTACTTTGCTCTCCTGAGACCCCACCTGGAGTACTGTGTGAAGCTCTGGCAAACTCAACAAGAGGGACATGGACCTGTTGGAGGGAGTCCAGAGCACAAAGATGCTCAGAGGGCTGGAGCACCTCTGCTATGAAGACAGTCTGCAAGAGTTGGGCTTGTTCAGCCTGGAGAAGAGAAGGCTCCAGACAGACCTTAGAGCAGCCTTCCAGTACCTAAAGGAGGCCCATAAGAAAGCTGGAGAGGGACTTTTTACATGGGCATGTAGTGATAGGACAAGGGAGAACGGCTTTAAACTGACAGAGGGGAGATTTACATTTAGATATTAGGAAGAAATTCTTTACGGTGAGGGTGGTGAGGCACTGGCACAGGTTGCCCAGAGAAGCTGTGGCTGCCCCATCCCTGGCAGTGTTCAAGACCAGACTGGACGGGGCTTGGAGCAACCTGGTCTAGTGGAAGGTGTCCCTGCACATGGTAAGGGGGTTGTAACTAGATGAACTTTAAGGTCTCTTCCAACCCAAACCATACTATGATAATTCCATGATTACAGAAAATGAGCTATGGTGACAGTGGGCTATATCAGAGTGAATACTGTCTAACTGAGTCTCAGGCAACGCTCCAGGGCTGGATAGGAAAGACACTCCTTCTAAGTGTCAGCCTTCAGATAGAAAAGATGCATAGTCAGGGTGGACCGGGAAGAAGCTACGTGGCCTTTGGGTCACTTTCTCCTGGTATATAAAGCACTAGTTTTCCCACTGGCATGTCTATAGTACATTCCTCTCAAGCTTTGTACACATTAAATGTTCCTGAAGAGGCATTGCTTCTGGTAGTTACTTGAATACATCTTGAGGCAAGATTTTTTTTCCCTGAGTAACGTCAACAACATTGCAAATGCATACTTATCTTGCACACATATCACTGTGTTTCTCCACCTTTTGGCTCATCTGTCCTTGTGTGACCCGCTGAGGACACAAACCTCAGTCTTCTCACTTACTGTGACCCCTTGAAATTCTGACTCCCAGAGAAATCACCACTCATGCTATGAAAAACCAGACTATCTCTACTACTACTACATCTTATGATCTGCTGTGCCTTCAGATCAGCATGAACACATCCCATCATTCTACCTGTCATCTCCCCCTTATCCGAGCTCCTGCCCAGCCTTTGCTCTTACAGGGCAAAGTCTGCTTCCAAAGTAAGGGTACATTCACTTTGACTTGCAATGCAGCAGAGAGACAGTTGGGCTTCCCTGGCCTGCTAGGCTGAAGCAACCTAAGCAGCTGGGTAAATTCAGCATGGTTAGAGCTAGCTTGGGACGCCAGCATTGCTGGACCAGTTTCTTTCACACTGCTCACCCACAATTTAGTTCCTCAAACTGCTTGATCTTACAGATTATTAAGCAGTATCTAGTGGACCTGGGTATTACTCAACAAGCAATATATTGGGTACTGTTAATGACACAGTATTTTGTATGGAATTTAGACTTCAGACCCTGTAACGTGTAACATTAAGCACAGCATTCACAAATAACATTGAGGGAAAAGAAAACTAAAACATCATGCAGACTTTATCTTTTTTGTCAGGCTCCTAAGTAGTATCTAAGAAACACTGATATTTACACAGGCTGATGATCTGTCCTGTCAGGTACAAATGCTTCAAAACTTACGTTGCACTCATAACCCAAACACATAGAGAAATTAAATAGGGGTTGTCCTTATAAAACTGAGTCAGGCATTGTGCCAGTTGACTTGCAAGCAATGTTTGAAAGACTAAAATAACACATAGTTGCACCACCTCTCTAAATCTGACCAGGGCTCAGAGGATAAATGCCTTACTTCATTATGTTTAAATGCTCTATCACAATCTGGTTTAAAACAGAGCAAAGGCTGTGAGCTGCCAATCTGCTATACTACTAAGAGAACAGAAATACCACTACAGACTGGGATGTGGGCTCTAGTAAAAAGCCACCATTAGTACCTGGCTTTCCTTTACTGTTCCCTGCTCCTCAACTCACTTGCTTCCAAGGATCATCACTTCACCCAGTACGACTGTGTGTCAGCTCCAATTGAAATGATCTCTTTTCTCAACAGACAGCATTTCTGCGCCTGAAGGGCAATGTTATTT